ATGCATTGTAGCAGCGTAGTAAACAGCTCACCAAGTGTCATGATATTGCACTGTTCACGTCCCACATTACCATCTGCTTCATGCTGCACCTGCTGTGTGCGTGATTCCTTTTCATTTTTTTACCAATCCTCTTTTTTCCTCTTTACCCTTCTATGCCCCTTCTCCTTCCCCAGCTCAGGATAGCAACTGAAAATTTTCTTCTGGTTAACCTCCTTGCCTTTCACCAAACCTTTCTTTATCTCTCTCTCTGACATCAAGGCAGAGCATAAACTTAACCGAAACTGGCTCTAGGAAAGGTGCTAACTTGTTTACTAGGAAAAAGTCAGTGTGAAGACGACAGGGACACAAGGTGAGAAGGATACAGTACAACTTGTGTCTCCATGGTGTTCATGCTGATTTTTCCAAGCCTGCATCATTTTCAATGCGATCACCTCTCCACCGTAGTAAATTGTTTAGGGTACTTTGAAGGCTTGAAAATGTTTCATGCGAGGTCCCAGACCTTGCAAGAAATGTTTGGTGGAAAATAGTTTAAGTACAGCCTAATTTTCATGTAATGCGAAGCACCTGTGACACTCATACTAGGGGTGTCATGGAAAGGGAAGTGCATTTCAACACTGCAAGAGATAAACATTACAAAAGTGCTTCAAAAGCATTATCATGCTCCTAAACCGGCTCATGATAATGGTAATTGAATGAATTGCCAAAGCCTAGGCTTGTGCGAATAGTGAATTTTAGGTTCGAAGCGAATTCGAATGGTATGTATGACATATAATAAAAAAAAGGAATACTTATCAGGACCTAACTAACTTGCACAATATTTCTATTGAATTGAAATAGAGGCTCTATGCAAATTTTATTTTTTTTTATTTCAAAAAAGTCGAAACAACCTTGAGTAGTAGTTTCGGTAGGATGCGAGTGACAACCTGTAAGATACTTAACGTTTTAAAATTTATTATACTTTGAACATATGAGCCATCATAACAAGCTTAATAAAATGAAGAATTGATTTGAGGGTAACATGTTCCTTTAAAGGGGCCTTGCAACACTTTTTCAAGTAGCCATGGAGCCAGTAAACATGCTTGTTGCCTCACAAATTTACCGTCGCAAAGTTTCTATAATCAGTCCAGTATGAGCGGAGTTCCAAAAATTTGTCGCCCGCTGCAATTGCATTCTCTCTTCTCGTCCCATGGAAATAGTTGGAAGTTAATCAGAGAGGAATGTCACGGCATAAGAATATATGTCACACACACCTGGTGACTTTGAGGACCTTTCTTTTTCTTCAAATACGTGGCTTTTCAGTGTGATCGCCCACATACTCTTGGACAAGCGGTGGCCTCCCGCGGCGGCCTCAGTAACGATGAGCGCATCATGCTCAAATCAACCAATGGGTGTGACAAGTGATTTTTGAGCTTGTTTGCGGACCTCATTTTTGAGCTCATTTTTGTTTGCGGACCTCATTTTTAGCTCAGGAAGAAAGCAATTTTTAGCTTTGAAAATTTATTCTTGATTCCAGGCCGCGTGCTGCGCTATAATATTTGCCTTGCGTATTCTTGGTAGCCTCGACCACCAATCGGCAGCGTTTTCTGACCATGTTCAACAAGTGTTGCAAAGCCCCTTTAAATTTAAAGGGGGGCTTCGCGGCAAAGCGAATTTCCTTTGAATAAGGGCTTTCACGGCTTATCACTTCTACATTGCAGTGAAACCACCTTTACAGGCGGTGACATGCGGACTAATGTACACCTATTTGTTCATTGCGAATACTTCGAAAATATACGATAATTTAAATTCGAATCGAAGCGAGTTCGAGTACTTATCTGTTCATTCGAATATTCGAATCATTTAACTATTCGCACAAGCCTGCCAATGTCCTTTGTGTTGCACTTTTATGTCTACATTAAATTTTTGTAAAATAAAAAGTGTTCTAAATATCGTGTGATCATTGCCCCAATTGCGCAGGTGCCGAAATCCGCAGTGTCTGCACTGAGGCAGGTATGTTCGCCATCCGAGCAAGAAGGAAGATTGCCACTGAAAAAGACTTTTTGGAGGCCATCAACAAAGTGATCAAGTCATACGCCAAGTTCAGTGCAACACCTCGCTACATGACCTACAACTGAAAAAGTGCTTCCGTTGTGACGTTATGTGGTATAATAATAAATTTTTTGCCAGCTGCAATCTAGTGCTGTAATTTTCTTTGAGTAATACCTGCACTGTTGTAAAGATGAAGCCCACAAGAAAAACTGGTTCACCACTTGAACTTGAGATGAATCAGTAAGTCCACAAGGAAAGTATAATTTGTAGATTCTTGAGGGTTTCAGTAAGGTTAAGTGACAATTTTCACTTGTTCATCATCTTGCAGATCTGACATTGCAAGCAGTGCAAGTGCTTTTTCTGTACTTTACCGACAACGGCTGGTGTTGCCAGCAAGCTCAGGCATAGTGGTGCAACAACTAGAGATGCGTTATCTATAGTGTAGGAATGTACCACACCATGGTTCATGTGTGATTACTGGTGCACATTCAAAAGCCAGTGTGTCATGGTTGCTTCCATTCTAATACAGTCGTGCTTCAGCCTGTTGCAGACAGAACATGCACGGAGCTGTAACATGTAAAACCTCTTCTTTGGTATGGCACAAGTGTGCATGCATGGAGCCAGGCATCCACTGTAAACAGATCCAGACACTGTGCTAGCTTTTGCTAGCTTTGTGGAGCGGTGTGATAGCTGCGCCAGTTGAGTCAAACTGTGTCAAGAGGTAAAACCTGCTACATCGTGCCGAATTTTTTCAAAAGTCTGTGTTGAGCATGTGCCAAGACGTCGTTCTGTAGTTTTTAGGAGAAAAAGAAGACTGAACATGCTTGCAAACCATATTTAAGCTGCCACTGTAATTTCAAGTGGTCATTGAAGCATACTGACTTATACTGACTTATATAAGTAGTCGCGTGATGCAACCCTGCCAAACAATGCGGTACTGACCCATACTGCATGCATGAGGTTTTCTCAAGGAGGTTCTAGAGAACCTCTGGAGTGGCAGTCCCGGCCGCCGCTAACGAGAGCAAGTGAAGCCGCCGGTGGCCATATTGCTAGAGGAAAAACAGGGCGGAACCACCATAGACCGCAATAGAATATGCGCGATGCGCGCGTTGGTTTGCAGTTCCGCGATAAAAAAATGAGATGGAAACCACTTTTAGGCTACACCAACGAATAAGTGGCTCTGTTTATAAAACAAATTATTTCATGCACCCATTTTCAGCTGCACGCTTTCAGATCAATCTGTTGTCGAGGGATGCTTCGCATATCGAGCTTGCTGGCGCACTATTGCGGTACAAAAGGGTTGTAAGTGATCCCAGGCGTCTTCTTGATGCGATTTGTGCAGCCATAAGCGATGCACGAGGTCACCATGGCCTTGTAAAATTTTTAGTGCTTTAAAAAAGCATGTCACAGTCTTCAAAGGCCACTGCGAGGGCGGAGCTGCGAAGCGCACTTTGTCGTCTACTTCCGAGTCTTTCCTTTTCCAATATGGCGGTGACCAGCGTCACTTATTGGGGCTCAGCTCCACTCCAGAAGACATAGTATAGAACCTCCTTGGGTGTTCTACTACCTAATAGATCATACTGTATTACATTACTAAGCTCAATGAAATACCTTCTAGCTGTTGTGGACCAAATAGACTATTTTATTTTAGTTCGTACGAAAGGAATGTACTATTTGTGATACATTTAAGAGTCATATCTAACCATACTTTCACACTTGAGCTGTCTGCAAAATAGCAATGAGCAGTGATAGTTTCGTCTTTTGTTGTATTCAACGTAAAGATTCACGTATTTTGTGCATATACTAGTTTCTTTTTAACATGTAAAACTTGTAAAGCTTAAAGAGAAATATTTGCGTTGGAAAATGTTTGTTTGGCAACTGCGACAAGAGGTTGTTGTGCTGCTCCTAAGTGAGATTTTAGCTGGTCCAGAAGCTGTGCTGAAGTGGCTTTGGTTGATCACATCTAGAATTGAGCCGGCACAGAAGAATTCACAAAATTGTACTCTATCCTTTTCTAGGGAACCTTTTTTTCATTGATGTATGCACATCTGTGAATGTACAGGTTTTGTATGTATATCAATGAAATTTCTAAATTCATTTTAATGCCAATTTCAACAATATATGCTCAGACAATAATTTTCAGTGGAGCTATGAGATTCATGCTATTGGGGTAGCCTCCCATGTTCATAGTAAGAAGCTGTGAAACTGCACCTCCTGTCTTTGGCATCTGTTAATTTTCACCTTTGTGGTTGAACTGTGACCTGGAATTTTTCGTTGAGACATCATATCATCCCACTAAATGATCACTCAACGATGTCATGCCTAGGTGAGAAAGGAGGAAGTTTTAAGCAATGCTAATTCAAATATTTCTGCATCTTCACATTGGTGCTTAATTTCAGATATGCCCATTGACAATATCTTTTTTTCCTTTGCGTTTTAGCAGAGAAAAAGTGCGAAAATTTCTTAGAATATACCTCGGGTGTTAGCATTGCATTTAGTCAGAATAATACATAACTTTGATGAAGACGAAATGCAAAAGCAGTGAAACACCAATGTAGTATCTTATTGATCAGGCGACAAAAAAAAAAAAATTATAGATTGGAGCGCACTTTAAAAAATCGCAGGTGGTTAGAAACTAATCCAGAGTCCTCAACTATTGCGTGCCTTAAACTCCTGTCATGTTTTTGGCCCGTACTGCCCAAGAATTCAGTCCAAATACAATTCGCACAACGTGCCTTCCAAGATCACTTCGTATTGCGCGCCGCTGCAGTAGCGCCGCAGCGGCGTCGCATAAAACAAATAAAACCAGCATATGGCAAGTTTAGTTGGTTAAAAAAAACTCTTCGCGTTTTTAAAAAGATTTTTATACATGCCAGATTGCAGTAAAAATCATGATTCTCATAGATCAAACGATAGATAACGTTAGCTTGGGTGCGAGAGTATTCAAGGCAGACGACTCCTCCCACTCCAAACAGCAACAGAAGAGATGCAGAAACATCGGGAGTCAGCGCGCGTTGTTGTGATGTTGCAGTAGCAGGACGGTGTGTGTTGTGCTCGCGGCGTTAGCAGCTTAGCACCCCGACTCTTGTGTCCGCAATGTGATGCCCACGTTGATCTTGTGTGCCTGACTGTGTTGTGCTTGCCCGTGTCACAATGGAATGCACCGTACGAAGCATGGCTGATGCTCAACCTAGCGAAGAGCAAGCTGTTGTTCCAGAGGGACGCGTCGAAAAAGGTCGGTTAACTCTCATCCTAGCGAAAAAATACATTTCAGATGTCGCAGTGTTGCTGTCCAATCCGGCGTTGCGATTCGGCAATGCTCGCGATAAGCCGCCGCTACAAACCGAACCGTTCTAGCTCCTTGTCGGCTGCGTGAACACCAATTCAGCGAGCAACCTCTCGGCATGTTTCTGTCATGTTCGATCACGTCAATAGCCGTTGGATTTTGTAGTGAAGTAGGATGGCGGGCTGGTCGGGTTTTAAAGACCTTACTCGGTGACATAGGCATTCGCGTCGCCTATTTGTCGACACTGGCAGCAAGTTTTTCAGTGGACCCAACATAGACTAATTTGTGAACTCGCGCTGTTCGCTGGTCTCAAGATCGTGTCAGACAGACTATATTAATTCGTCATCGGCACGTGCGGGCTAAAGCACAGAGCTATTACCAGAAAATAGACAAGCGTACAGTTCCGAGGAATAATAGTGATAATCGGAGCGGGCACAGACTGCGCTGCTCGTGGACGAAGTTGTCCCGCAGCGCCGGTTTAGAAGCCAGCTTATCGCGCTTGTCGCATTCGTAAATGCCCGCAGGTCTCGGTGATGGGGCAACAAAGGAGGGGGCTGGTGATGTATCTTTTTTATCGTGTTCCTCGCAGAATGACACTTCCGCTCACGGGTGCTAGTTGAGGCTACATGCGCCGGGCCTCGCTGTATTGACAGCCGATCCATCAATCTTTCGAGGAAACAATCCTCCAGCCCGTCCTTTGTAGTAGCAGGTGCGGCACCATTCGTGGCTTCTGTGGTCGTGCATTGCTCGCCCACGCGCCGATTTTTTCAAGCCTGCCGTCCAGTGTGTGGAAATCGACGCTTTTGTTGTTGTTGTTTTTTTCTTTCGAGCGGCGCTATTCGTGGTACGCGGCCAACTGTGTACTTATTTAGCGAGCGATTCCCGAGTGGGACGTTTCGTGCTGACCGACTGTGGCCACTAGCTGTTTCAAGCTATGAAGAAGTAAAGCGAACTGGCTGGCTGCTATCCCGGTTGCGCAAAAAATACCCGCGATTATAAGGCGTGTTCGTGCGGCCGTGTGTCTTGACGTGAATATGCTAATGAGTGCGGTGCCACATCGCTGTTTGCGGCTTAGTTTTCGACGCTGCTGGCATAGTTGGTGAGACACACATCTGATGACCGTGCATTATATAGAGGAAATAGCAAAAGAAGGCGGTGAGGTTGGCCAGAAGCAAACTGTTTTCGACGGTTTGCTACCCTACCGTGCGGAAGGGTGGAAGGGAAGTTGAAAGAGGGGAAACCGCAAGCACTCACAGTCATCGTCGGTAGTCTACTGTGGCCCTATTCTGCTATCTTTGTAAGCGTTGTTCGAACGTACTACTTGTGCAAGGAGAAGCAGGAAGTGGAACGAGACACACTTGAGCTAGTCGGTATGGATTCATGCGCGGGAAGAAATAAATTACTAAGGCGTGCGATGCATGCCCACGCCGTGACACGCACACTCAAACAGCGATTGCGTTGTGTGGCTCTCAAGTCCGTCTTTCTCCGCAAGAATTACTAATCAAGCGTGTTCACGCTTCATGTTTGTTCAATACTCAATACAGTAATACAGTACTAGTAGAAAATTGATAAAAATACAGAAGGATGTCCCAAAGTAAAACTAAAAAAAAATGGAGAAAAGATGATTGTTCGTGATTACAGAAAGGCATCGCGTTTCTTCGTGGTTATGGGATGACTTTCATGCACTCGAACAACAGTTTGGGGCCTTTCTAAATGTGGCATTCTTTGAAGGTTTGTTGCATTCGAACCAGAAATACTGCAAATGCCGTCCGCTTTTACTGCGTTTTTGCTGCGGCGTCGTGTAGAAGTCGCTTCAGCACGGCGGCTAGAAGTTATTTTTCCTTTAGTGAGTTCACAAACTTCTAGCGCACGTGTTTGCTAATGCATACGTAGAGAACACACAGCATTCCTGCTCCCGAAGTTAGGGAGTTTTCGAATGGGAGCCCCCAAAGCCCTTTGCGTATGGACGCTTTGGGTCAAGCAGGAGCGATCAGTTTTCGAATTGGGTCTGTGGTGCTTTGGACACTCCCCATATTCTGTGTCACTCTAGCCTTGGCCGGGAGCCATCACTCCAGTGGGTGCCTTCACGTTTATCTGACCCAAAACTTTTGGGGCTCCCGCTAAATTCGATAAAATAGCGTCCCTAAACACAAGCGCAGTTTGGGTTTTGCGCATGCGCAGTGACCTTGACCCTATTTACTTAGGGACCCTATTCGAAAACTCTCTATTAACGTTTAAAAGGTCTAGCTCATGAAGCCCCTATTCGAAAACTCCATATTAACAATCAAAAAAGTCTAGCTTATGAAGCAGCGCCTTCAGAGATGCGCTTGTGGCTCTAAACAGCGAATAAAGAATGAAGCGCCCCCTCAGCGCCTCGTCCAGTCGCATCATATATTTTGACTGAAGTGTTAACAAGGGTCGGAAAACTCCTGCGAATGCTTCATGAGTTCTGAAACGTATTGTGATCTACTGCCCGGATCTGCATTGGCGTTTAGAAGTTTTTCAATTTTAAACGAATCTGTATGAAGTGCTCTTTTGGAGCACTTCATACAGTTTTCTTCTATCTCGCCAAAGGAACGCAAGAAACCATTCCCTGTGTAGTCAACATTCTAGTTGTATGTGCGGCAATGACCACAATATTATTTGCATTAATAAGATTCTAATATCCGTGATACCACCACGTTTGAACCTTGTTTGCGCGCAGTAAAAGTATGGGACCGATTGTAGACTTCACTTCCTCCTCATGCCGAGCCCTTTCAAATTTCCTACACCAAATCTTCGCCCCACTAACCCGTAAGACACCAACTCATGCCCGTGACGCCAGCCACTTCGTGCAGCTAGCGTCAGATGTGAGCATCGGTGATGACGAGAGCATGGTCTCATTTGACGTCGTGTCATCGTTTACCAACGTGCCAGTTCGCTTAGCTGTCTCCGCTGCCCGTTCTGCGCTTGAGGAGGACGCAAGCCTGGGTGAAAGGACTCCTTCGGCGGTTGACGAGCTCTGTCGTCTGCTGGAGTTCTGCCTATCCAGCACGTACTTCTCCTGCAAAAGAACTATTTTCAGGCAGAACAGCGGAACCGCGATGGGAGCTTCCGTCTCGGTCACGATGGCAAACCGGACCATGGAGTACATAGAAGAGCAAGCACTCAGCTCCTTCTCGCCGCGACCCAAGCTTTTTCTGCGTTATGTGGACGATTGTTTTTGCGTCATTAAGAAGTCTGAAGTTGAAAACTTCAGACAACACCTGAATTCCGTGCACCCAGCCGTACAATTCACGACCGAGTGTGAGAGCGACCACGGCCTGCCCTTTCTTGACGTCCAGGTGGCAAGAAGGCGCAACGGCCTGGAGTTCTCCGTTCCTAGGATGCCAACGCACACTGGCCGCTACCTTCAATTCGATTCTTCCCACCCCGCCTGCCACAAGGCCTTGGTTGTGACCACGCTACTCGAGAGAGCCAGGAACTTATGCTCTAATGACACAGAGCGAAAGAAAGAAGAGGCCCGCGTAATTGCTGACCTCAGAAAAAACGGATATACTAAAGACTTCATTCGAGCCGCCAGCCGCCGCGCAGAGCAACAGGGGATTAGGAAACCCCATTCAACCTTAATTGGCAGCCCCCCGAAACGCGTACCGGTTCCATACGTTCACGGAACCAGCGGGACGCTGGCGCGGATCTTCAAGAGGGAGGGGGTTCGAATCGCGCACGTGCCTTCGTGTACGCTGGGCCGCCTCCTCCCCCGCCCACAAGACCGGCCAACAATGGACAGGAGCCCCGGTGTCGTTTACGAAATTCCGTGCGCCGAGTGCCCCGCGTCGTATATTGGCGAGACGAAAAACCTACCGGAACGACTGAAGCAACGCGCCAACGATGTGTGGAAGTTCTACAAAGAGCGCAGCGCAGTCGCCGAACATACTGAGACATTGGACCACAAGATAAATTTCGAGGCGACGGCCATCCTCGAAAGCGAGCCGAACTGGGGGAGAAGGTTGTTACTCGAGTCGTGGCACATTCAGGGAACAGCCCGCATCAACCGCTCTTTCGGAACCCTTCCCCCACTGTACACACACGGTCTGCGCTCCACGGCAAAACGAGAGAGAAAGACAGAGAGAGGGGTCATAAGCCACCCCTCGAGTGCTTTGAAGACGCTGCTGCTACGTAGCCTACGCAGTCACCCCTGAAGAAGGAACCAAGTCGGTTCCGAAACGTCGGGTCTCTTAAAAACTTTTCGCTGGAGCCTATATCATCTCCCAAGTATTATGAAATACCAGGTCAGAATGCATATATTGCACATGCCATCAGGCACGCAGCATCTCACCGTTATTGATGCTCGTACATAACGGCTATAGGATGATGTCAGTGTAAAACATTGAGGGCCATGGAACGATGTTGGCGTGTGCCGTAACTTGCAGCAAAACCGCCGCGCCTGACCACAGCGTGCAACTTATCGTCATTGTTGCTCCCTCAACATGGCGGCTGAGACGAGGTCAGTGTGAGGGAAAGATCGTTGGGAGAGGTCTTCGGTGAACGCACATAAAGATAGGCTGATGATGACGGCACAGTGTGGTGTACGTTTTTAGAATGACTGGACAATCTCAAAAGCTTCGTCGATTACTCCAATTCTCTCACCGCCATTTAAAGCCTCGGAATTCGCTACTTGGAAGAGGCATGTGCTCATATCTGAAGCTTTATCATTCCATAAATACTATATCCGGCGGAATTATTTGCCTTTGAGGTTGCGCGAAATGAAGATACGATTCTGGTGTACTTTTAGCATTGCGTCTTTCCATGGTCGTCGTCAGGATATTCTCTTGGGAGGTGCAAACTAGTATTGCATTGCTGCTGGGGAGGGGTAGAGCACTGGTGAAGCTTGGGTGAGAGCACGTGCTGGTGAGACTTTAGAGGGGAAGGAGGTGGGTAGGGGGGTGTCGGAGGTCACACTTCCACAA